ATAGAGCTTCTTCTCCATATTCTTTTGATCTTAATGTCTTAATATGTGATTGAGGGGGAGGGGGAGGGGGGGAGTATTGGAGAAATTAGAAATTAATTAATCACCCTGAAGGTTCAAAAGGTTGAGGAGTGGAGCAGTATAGTAGTAGCAGCCACAGTTGTTCAGGTCAGAACAGCCGGGGACGATGACAGGGAGTGGTCAGGGAGGAAGTGCTCCTCAACAAGGAGAGGAAGGATATTTAACAATTATTCCACGAGCGCACGTTGGATATGAGATGATAGATAGCCAACGAGGTGCATAGTGCCGAGTTGGCTATAATCATCTCATATCCAACAAGCGCAAGTGGAATAATTGTTTTATTAAAAATGCCCCCCAACATATTAGACAAATTTTACCAAATCTTAAAGTTTTTAGCTACCTTTCAATTCTAAGCTGACGCATACGCTTGCCATATTTGTAGATTATGGTATATTGGCTCATAAATCATAATGGCTAAGCCAATAAAAAGTCTTGAATTGCATTATCCAATGATCCAGTTTTTAATAAAGTAAGATGCACACACCATATTCATATATATATATATATATAGTGTGGTCTGAAGCAAAATTGATATAAAACAATGCAAAAAAGACTAGTAAACTATAATGTGTTGAAATAGTATGGATGCTTTGTATATACAGCAAATCTTTAAAGTGTCAGTGTCAGACAGTCAAGTTATTTCTTCTTTTTTCCTCCACCCTTCTTCTTAGCTGGTGGTTTTCCTGCCGCTGCTTTCACCATCTTTAATGGCTTGGACTGCTTACTGACTGCCACTTGAGTAAGCTGTTGCTCAATATTTGCCTTGATGGTTACTTCAAGAGCCTGATAATATAAAATGAGATAACACCTTACATATAGCTTAGCTCACATGCCTAAAAGTACTCTTGTATGAATTTATATGTATGCTGGCCTTCCTGTGAGTTCTAATTTTTTCTTGGGATTGCCATTTTGAAAATGGTTACACATAAGAAGGCTGCAATAAAATGCACAAGGGTCTGAGATTGTCAGCCAATGCAAAAAACAAACAAACAAACAAAAAAGTGTATAAAAATTAATCGAATGAAGCCTTACACTGCTGTAAAAAGTCTAATGTTTCACAAATATGGGCTTTCACCGATCAACGGCATCATCAGGGATAAAAAAATATTCCAGGAGCGCTATATATACATGTATGTAAAAAGAGTGTGTGGTGAAATGTGTCAAAGACATGACTATGTATGAAAGCTGTAAAAAACTGTGAATGGAACATAATAAAGGCTCTACAGATGGACTGTATAAACAAAGAGTGTAAAAGAGCGTTAAAAAGAGATGCTTCAAAGGAGGGTGATCACTTGCCAACAATCATCAATAGCAAAGGAACCCTTTTCCTTTCCTAGCATCCTCAAAAGGTTTTGCCCAACCTGTTCCAGACCTTGAAATAGAGTGGTTTTCCCACTGGCTGCTACAAAACCATGACAGAACTAAAAGTAAGTTCACCTGACTTCCACCTAATAATAACTATCAGATCTGATACCTCCTGGTGGCATAACATTCATTTGGTGAAAACTATCATGCTCAGTGGTAAATCAAACCCAAAATAAGAATGATTTAATGAAGGATTTTTTGGAAAAAGAAGCTGCCTACTGTTGATGGCCCCTTTTAGCCATCTGCACTGAATTGAATGTCCTCCACAAGTAATAGTAGTTGCACAACACATCAAATCAAGCCATGTTCTACATTATCCCCAAATTTTAAGAAACTGAGAAGAATGCAAAATGAAAATGGACCTGGACACCTAAACAAACTTTTTTCTTAGAACTATGACCCCTGGCTCTTCATAGTCAAAATCAGTTCTTTCCCTGAAATTAACTAGACCATGGAATTGTACAATGGAAAAACATTTATAATGATAATAACAATAACTTTGTTTAAGTGTCAAATGTATTTAGCTGTGCAAGCACAAGCTAATTGGGGACACTAATCTAATCAACAATTATTAATCAATTAACAATATAAATTCTAAAATCTAAAAAAACTAACATAAATATCACGACCGGCAGAGATTGCAGCAGTCACTATTATTATCTAAAATACTCGCAATATCTAATTTACGTATGGTACAATACTATCGGTTATAAAGCAGGCCATAGGGACTGTTTATTGAAGTCACAATTCAGCCCTTGAATATATATAGTTTACTAGAATTTGTGCTTTAGAAGTCAATAAATTATAAATTAGTACGACGTGAAAAAACATTTTCAGAGCAGAAACCCCTCTAGGCCAATATCCTCATCACCACAGGAAAATTGCTGGAGAGAGCTGTCTCTTAAGTGGGTTGGTTAAAAGTAGAAGGGTTTTCAAGTGGTTAGGACGACATCTCCCTAAGGGGGCTAAATTAGCCAATGTTAACTTGGTATCTGTTTTAACCTCCTCCAGTGAAATGGATAATTTGAAACAAAAAATGACCAAGATTATTGATAAACATTTTCATTCCACCTTTCCCCTGACCTAATTTAAAGAAGTAAAACAGCACAATTTTTATACGCATTTGAAAAATGAGATGTCTCTTACCATATAGAAATAAAATAGCCTATTACCATATACCAACACAAATGTTGAGCGCTGTTAATAGTGTGATTTACTAAAACATGCTAGTTTTTTTGGAAAGTTCTTTTGCGTGGAAAAGGCCACTATATTGTCTTCATATCAGGATCTGGATCACCACTAATTTCAAGCTTTCATAGCAGTTCACTACACCTACTGCTCTTCACAGGTTATCTGACACTAACAGTAATGCTACTGCAAGGCTGCCCAAGCCACAACCAACGCAATAAATAACAACACTAATTCAAGGGTCGGTAAGGATATCCATAGATATTTCAATTAACAAAAGTTTGATAATTTAGCTATTATTCATTTTATTTGGTTGTGATAATACTTGTGTACATTTTTTGCTGCAAAAAGTAGGCAAATAACAAATTTTATTGTTTAACATACCCAAAGTTTGCTTTTGCAGTGAATTTTCTTAACGGATATTATTAAATTTTGATAAGTAGGAAAAACGCGTTTATTTCTTCTCCATAAAAAAAAATTATTTTTATATCAAGCGAAATTAATGTAACTTAAATATCATAAAACATCGTGGCGTCGATTTTGAATCAAATACGCCAGTTCTATCACGTATTTAACTACGAATTTACGGGGAGATACATCAATAAGCGTTCAATCGAATAAATTTGGGAGTGAGCGTCATATTCCTCTGGGTGTGTGCCAAATAGTAATTAAACTAAGGCAGAAGAAAGAGTTGAATGTATAAAATGTTGGTGGGGAATGTAACCTTCACAAAAAAAAAAAATAACGAAATTACCTTCTTTACTTTTGCTGCTTTGACAGTCGTCTTGTTCTTAGGAGCAATGGTTCTTGCTGACAAATCAAAAGGAAAACAAACAGAACAACGTAACTGAGATTGTGTTCGAATTTCTGATCTGCATGCAAAAACGTGAAATGTGTACTAAAAAAGATATAGATATAATGAGGGCATGATGAACAAACGGAAAATCCCTCATAGCAAAGCCTTTCACATCATTCTAATTGTTTTCTTTAAATAAAGAAGAAATACTAATCAAATTTGTTGTTTCTTGATTTGAAAAGCGCGCACAACAACAGCGTTGCAGTAGTTACAGACGTTCGATAGTGTTACTTCCGTCACAACACTTTAAGACTAATATCTTCGTCCATGCCAAAATATTTTAAACCTACCTCCCTTCTTTGGCCCAAGAGCCTTTTTTTGATGTTTTTTTGGCGCTGCGGCCTTCTTGATTTTCCCTTTTCCCTGCGCCATAATCTGAAATTTCAACCGTCCGACCGCCTCGAGCTGTTTGTTTCCTTTGAGTCTGCGAGTTGCGCGTCTCTGGTCAGTGGACCAGAAACGCGCAACTCAAACTTCAAACTCGGCCCAGTCTTTTACTACTATTAGCCGACCAAAGTCGATTTGGCGCGAAGTTATCTGGTGGGCAGTCAACAGATATTGTCTGATTTTCTTTACCTCATGCATGGGAAAGAGTGGTGGATAACTTTCTCTTAATGCAGCGAGAGCTTTGCACGTTTCCTCTGGCTCCAAATTACGTGCATAAATTATCAAGCGCAGGTTATGTCACAGTTGATGATCTGAAAGATGTGACACCCACAGAACTTAGTGAAGGCAAGTCCTTCGTTAAATTGTTTACTTTTTTTTTTCCATTTGCGCTTGATTACCAACTAGCCAATTTTTCTTTGTAATCTCGTGACTGTTCAACAAACCTCTAGCTTTCAAACATGCAGATCAAACGGTTGTTGTTTAGGCTGTTGAGGGGCGAGTTCCACCTGGTGATGATGATTTTTAGAAGGGTGTCAAAGATGACGAGGAGGGGAGGGGAGGGGGTTTGGGTTGTTATAAGAACGAAAGGTCGGGGACCCAGAAAGAAGGCTGGAGAACAAGGTTGAGTTTTATATGTAGGTCAGAGATATGGGTGAGCTGCATGATAATTATGAACAGAGTATAATAAATTGATTATTGTTTAAGTCCCAAGGTCTAATTGTTATTGCTCCCCTCAAGCTGCTACACCTTTCCTCTCAAATTAATTGCAAGAGTCAAGAGAAGAAGTAATGAGAACACTGAAAGTTATTGGATAGACGGTTTTTATGAATGATGAATGAATGAATGATGACTTTATTTAAACTCAGGTGAAAATGAGGCTTCTTAGGCCTCTAGCAATTAATAGAGATGCTAATATACCGAGGAAAATATATGAAATWWAAWT